ATTTGAATTCATTTTAATAGCTCGCCGAAACAACCCTTGGGGAAGAAAAGATCATAAAAGAGATAATTTTCATTCACACTATGCCAGTATAAGTATGAGATTAGGTAAAAAATCAAAAATTTTTAAAGCATTTAACAAGGATGACGATTAAAAAGTATTGAATGCTAATCAACCATGTCAGATTTGAGTTTCCCTTATTTGAAAACTCCAATCTAAGCCATTTTTGTGGAGACTTGAATCTAGGCTGTTTGTGCACAACAACATGTTAAATACAAGATGATCCACCATATGATCTTGAATTTCAAGTCTTTACCACTTGATAAACAAGATTTCACTCATTCAAGCTTAAATCTACATTGAGCTTTCACACTGGATAACAAAAATGGAGGTGAAATCAAACTTACAATGCAGTTAAAAATCACTACTCCGAAATCTGACAAGCGGAAACTTGTATTCAAAGCCTTAGCTACATCTCATGACTCAGTCACAAGTATAAGTTCAATATACAAATTTCCTCAAACTTACTTACTTAATAGTACTTTTTCATCCTTCTTATTTCAAAGTCTCAAAAACCAGCTATCTAATAAGGCTTAATTCCAAGCTTCTGAAGTTTGAAATTCTAGCCCTGTGCTTGTTTTAGAGACTGAAATCAATACTTTTACCAAGATTGTAACAGTATAAGTTCAATCCTCTTGAACTGAGAAATCATGTTTGTTCGAGATGGATTATCGGGAGCAACATGAACTTAACCAGTGATCTCTATCGTTATGATTTATTCGAGGTAGAAATCACCTAATTTCAGTTGCCCGGCACATATTAATTAAGTTATACTGATAGTGGACAAAAACGAGCAATTAGAAGCCCCGAAAATATAATAACAATCTGAGAAACTTGTTTCGACGTCAACTGTTATCTGGCTGATATCAAAGACTGACAGGAAAAAAAAAGGAAGTCAAACCGTGCGCGAACCAAAACCACTCAAAGCCCTGTAATTAAAACATGTTGTAATCGACCACCACTCTTTAGCGACCGCGACAGTGTTTTACGGTCGACGGTTTTATAATTTTCCATCGTTTTTAACCTCCCGTAAGCGCATGGTGTCCTCTCGCTTTGTTCGCCTGTCAGTGCATACGAAGACATTTGAGTGACAACATGGAACTACAGTAAACATATCGTAACTTCTCTTCCACAAAGTGAAAATGTACATTCTCCTCAAAAAAATAGATGTATCCGGACCTCTTTTACGAAGAGACCACCATGGTCGCTTACGGGAGATTCGACTGTTTTTCCATAGCATTTAACTAAAGTTGGAAAGGTGCCCATCTTTTCCGATACATAGTTCTTCCAACCTCCTGAGAAACTTACTTGTGGGTGTCATTTCTGAGTCTTGGGTGCTTGTTGCTGTTGTGAAACCAAAAATATCATGAATAATTTTTAAGCGAGCTCCAGATTGGAGTAAAATCAGAAATGTGCTTCGTTACAACTTTATTCTTTGATCTTCATATGATACTCACTTTCAGGTGGTACTTTTGTGGTGGTTGTGTGTGGTAACTCTAATGAAAAAGACAAATAAACGAACAAAACAAAAACAAAGAAATTAGTTTCTCTCGCAAAACGTATAATTAACGTTATATTTCTAGTGTACGGTACCACTAAGGCCCTGTCCACACGTAGCCTGTTCCAAGCGTTCAGATAGTGGGGAGCGGTGCGAAGTAAAGAAAGCGATGAAAAGTAGAGGGGAATTTTATTTTTTCGCGCCCCTTTTTACTTCAAACCGCTCCCCACTATCTGAACGCCTGGAACAGGCTAGTCCACACGTATCCGTTTTAGTTTTTTCTCCGGTCTGGCCTACCGTCCACACGTATCCGGTGAAAACGGTCACTGAAAACGCATCTTTTAGAAAACGCTCTCCACAGAGGAGATTTTTAAAAACGCCGGCTTCTCGTTTACGTTAGGACAGACGAAAACGGAGGTTTTCCAATATCGACATTTTAGTTTGTGTTGTTTTACTTGGTAAAGTATTTGAATGTTACAGTTGCTATTAGCCTGTTATAAAGCATTATTATTATTATTGATTCAAAATATTTCCCCAATTCTGATTGGCTAAAAGCACACGCATAATTCACCATAAGCACTTACTGATGACCAAATTTGGAAGAATTTTGTCTTTAACGAGGAAATGACGTCAAAAATGCAGCCTTCTACAGGTCAATGCACCGTTAACCGAGAAGACCTGGGACGAGGTTGAGTTGTTTTCGTTCTGAAAACTAAAATGGCGGACACTTCACTCGTTTCAAGATTAAGAACTGCAGCTGGAACTAGGCGAAATAATGGCTTTTGAAAGAATAATAAAACAGTCCAGGATCGTTATCAAATTTGATAGCCATGTGACGTCACAACATGGTGGCCATTTCAATAGCCGGGAATTTTCGTACTCGCCTTTCTTTATCCGAGATTTTGTCCGATCCTTTTCAGTGTGAACTCTTCAGGTACCCATGGTTCTGTTCGGACAGGCCAAGGAGCTTCACATGTTTCAAAATGGCAGATGTGTATCAAGCGTATTGAAGTAAATTTCCCTCTCAAAGTGAAGCGTCCATCAGATTTTTGTTCGAAGATCAGGTAGTTTTTCCACTTCGTTGTTAAATTAAATGTACTTGTCGATTTTTGTGAGAGTTGCAAAAAATCTGGCGTTGTATCCAAGTTTTATGCTTTCGATTCAGCATGTTTCTATTGTTGTGCACAATCTCTGAAAAAAGTGCATCAGGTATTTTTATTCGGAATGCGCTTTCAATAATGTCGGCCATATTTGATTGATGTCTTCCTCAAGGTGCTGAGATGGCAGATGATGCCCATAGAAGCAAAATTTCAAAATTATGTCGCCTTTGTGGTAAGGTCAAGAAATGTAGTTTTTATAAAACGATTTGGTTCTGACGCGTGTCACGCGCCGTATAAAGGAAAATTGTTTTAAGGCTTGAAAATATGAGAGGAAGTGACTGCGCGCTGAAATTTTTCAAAACCGCTTAACACTTAGTCACTTTCAAAAATTATTGTCCGTCAAATTCCCTTTGCCAAGCAACAACCAAAGTTCTAGCATAAAGCTAAACTATTATAGTACACATTACGAAAAGTTTTGACCGAGTTCGAATTAAATTGCAACAGATATGACTCTTAGTGCTATTCCACTCCGTACTTCAGTAACGCAAAATATATTTACACGTGAAACATGCATTAATTTGCATATGCAAATGTTCAGTTTTGCGCTACAACGGCTTTCGTTACCTGTACAATAAAAAAATTCAAACAGTTATTTGTATATGCTAATAAATGGAAGGCATACTCATTGTCTGCATGTTCCGTTTTTGTTTCATTGACAGATCGAAAGAAAACAACCATCAACATCATCTCCTCGTGACAAGAGGAAAATAAAGCAGAATGAACTTCGAAAAAGCAAACTTCTGTAGACGATGTTAAAAATAAAACCTCTATCCTTAACAGAATAACCATTGTCTTTCATCACTGTGTCTCTATAATTTGAACATTACAGTAGAAACAAACTACGTATGAGTTTGATGATTTGTTTGAAATACACGAAGCTTTCCGCAGAGGTCTTATTTGCATATTTGGAAAACTGCGTCTCAAATACAATTTCACTAGTTTTACAATCTACCGCAAGATGTCTGTTATAAAAAATTGCCATGTACAGGAGTTGCTGTCTCGGCAGTACTCCTTTCGATTTCTGAAAACATCTCGACATCGTCCGCCATATTGAATTCAAGAACGTTTTCCCCCAAACTAGGTCACGTGAACGAAAATTTGAACAGCGATTGGCTCGTGGTTTGTTTTGGTCGAGGTTATCAAATTTGATAACGATCCCAGACTGTAAAACAATTATTGAATTCGGCTTTCGTATCATATGAACAATTATGGAGATCTCGGAGGATGTTATCCGCCTCGGCGTACGGTCTCAACGGATAACACCCTCCTCGATCTCGATAATTCTTCATAAGATACTCAGCCTCATTCATTGTTAAAAAATGTTTTATATAACTTGCTGAAAATTGATCACCAGATCGCCTGCACATAAACCTTTAACTTACCGGTGTTTGTTGCATTATATTTCACTTTGATGTAAGTTGCCTTAAATCCACGGTACCGCCGGTAAGTACCACTATCAGAAACAAACGTCACCGTCAGGACATCTTTTACCGAATGGTATACTATCCCACGGTCTGTATAGTATCTACATCTTCGCCTGCCTGAAATGCCATCAGAGGATGAGCCATTTTGTATTTCCAGGTAGTCACACGTGCAAGATGAACCACATTCCGCAATATGAATGTCTTCAATGAACAACAAAATGCGTTCTCCTTTACTTGCTATAATTTTCCAGCTGCATTTCTCGTTAGAAGGGTAACGCCTTGGATAGTAAGGACTGGTAAGAACTCCTGACGTCTCATTCAGGGTTGCCATATTTGGACAGACTTCAAGCAATATAAATGGACTGAGCGTAAGTATCGAGGACAATTAGAATTATACCACTTTAAAAAAAGAATCTAACTAACTTAAGAAGGAATTAGATCAAAACCAAAAGCAGGACGGCAGGACTTAATAATTCTGGGATGCGCTGGAAGCTTTTTTAAAATTTGTGTCGAGATTATATTGCGAACAAGTCACAGGCAATTGACTGCCTTCTTACGATGTTTTTGAGAATCCGTTCCGTGACTCAAACGAACATTAATTGTAGTTGGTATTAGGCGCCTGCGCTTACTCTGGCATAGAAAAAAAATTGTTCTGTCGTTCATGTTTTCTTTCTTTGTTATAAAAGCCCATGTGAACACCAGCTACATTAAAAAAATTCACAAACAACGCAACATCAACTGTGAGAAATATGTTCGTAAGTACTGGGATTTGGAATCTGTGATTTGACTTGAGAAGACTTTCTTGGATCACCTTTTATTGGGCGAGTTGTTGGTGGTGATGGTTTTTAAATCTTAACTCAATCATTGATGTCTTGTAAATAACTTATACGAAGTACCTGAACTATAGGTGATAGCCTTGTAAGTTGCATTAAACCCTGGGTATTGACTACGCAGAGACGTGAATATGACTTGAACGGAACTCCCTACCGAGTACACTGGATGGAAAAGAGACTGACCGCACAACATGAACGGCTGATACCCATCATCTGAGGCAACATTTGTGACTGTAACACGGGCATTATAGCAGGGAATATACCGATATGGCTCCAATCGAAAGTAGAGGAAGCTAAGTTTAATGATGTACCCGATGGGAACTGTGATATTCCAGGTACATTTGCTGTATTGAGGGTAGTTTCTCGGAAAATTTGGAGTTGAAAAGAATCCACTAAATTCATTAAGATATTCGCTAGACGTACAAGCTGCAACAAGAGGAAATAAGCATGACTTAGCTTTATAATTCAAAATCAAAGAGTAATTTTCTCTGTGAACCAAAAAAAGAAAACATCAATGGAAAGCGTTACAATAGATAAACATAAAAAATAGGAGACCCGCAACAAAACACTTTAATTTTAACTTCATGCGAATGAAAATTGTTGGCATTCCATATGCATTTTAATTTGTTTGTGTTGTTTTACTCCGTACAGTATTTGAGTGTTACAATTGCTATAAGCCTGTTATAAGGCAATAATGTTTTCTATAACTTGCTAAAAATTGATCACCTGATCGCCTGCACATAAACCTTTAACTTAGCGTTAACTTTAACTTTAATTTTGCTGAAGCCAATTTTTAATAACCTACCTGTGTTTGTTGCATTATATTTCACTTTGATGTAAGTTGCCTTAAATCCACGGTACCGCCGATAAGTACTACTATCAGAAACAAACGTCACCGTCAGGACATCATTTACCGAATGGTATACTATCCCCCGGTCTGTATAGTATCTACATCTTCGCCTGCCTGAAATGCCATCAGAGGATGAGCCATTTTGTATTTCCAGGTAGTCACACGTGCAAGATGAACCACAGTTCGTAATCTGAATGTTTTCGATGAACAACAAAATGCGTTCTCCTTTACTTGCTATAATTTTCCAGCTGCATTTCACGTTCGAAGGGTAACGCCTTGGATAGTAAGGACTAGTAAGAACTCCTGATGTCTCATTCAGGGTTACCATATTGGGACAGACTGCAAGCAATATAAATGGACTAAGCCTAAGTATCGAGGACAATTAGAATTAGTATATACACACTCAGTGATCTTGGTGATTTAAGCGATCTGATTGTTCGCTATCTCGGACTATTCAACAATATTCACCTCTCAGCGAGTGGATAATGTGTGAGCTCGGGTTTTTTTTTCCCATTTTCTTAGAGAAAGATCTTTTAAAAGTCGACAAAATCCTAGGGTTGAATTTTTTTCAGGCAAGAAAAGACTTCGAAGGATTCAAAACGGCGTTTTTCCATTTACTGTTGTTGAGTTTTGCGGTCGATGGATTGTTTACAACTCCCGTTTGTTCGCCTAGAAGAGGCCGTATCGTGAACTCAGCGTTTCCTAACAAGAAAAATTTGGCCCAAAGACGAAGTTTATTTATGACAAACAAATTTGAAAGCAAATGTTTGCAGAAATTCTACGTCTTAAGTCAACACAAGAAAGAATGCTACATGAAGACGACGTCTTACCTCAAGGAACGGAATCGACATTTTTGTCAGCACTTCATGCGAAGAACGACACAACAAACCCTTTTGGCTATAAACTTGGCGAGTCAACAGAAAACAACAAAGCTCTTTTTTTCTTCTCAGGTAAGAAAACAGTTCAAACTTTTAGCGGTTCCATTTAAGTCATTACGCTGTTGTTTGCGAAGTGATAAGCTTGTGAATTGCCATGTTTGAAAATTGTATAAAGATCTATTTTTAAACTGTCGCGTGTCTAGCTGACCTGATCTGTCAATCAAATCGTACTTTTTAATGGTTTCCTCTCCGATTTTGTTGAGATCACTTCGTGTGTATATATACTAAAACAATTATTCTTTTCAATCTCGGTGAATAGTGGCTTTAGGAATACTTACCTCGCCACTTTGTGGCCCGGTAAATATTTTGCTACTATTCACCCCGATTTCAAAGAGTAATTGTTAATTATCCCGCTTTAAAAAAAAGAATCTAGTTAACTTGAGAAGGAATTAGATCAAAACCAAATGCAGGACGGCAGGACTTAATAATTTTGGTATGCGCCGGAAACTTTTTTTAAATTTGTGTCGGAAATAAATTTTTTAGAATTATCGAGATTTTATTGTGAACAAGTCACAGACAATTGACTGCCTTCGCACGGTGTTTTTAAGAGTCCGTTACGTGACTCAAACGAACATTTTAGTGGGTATTAGGCGACCGCGCTTACTCTAGGATTAAAAAAAAAAAAGAATGTTCTGTCGTTCACGTTTTCTTTCTTTGTTAAGAAAACCCATGTGAACAACAGCTACATTGCGAAAATTCACAAACAAAGCAACATTAACTGTGAGAAATATGTTCGTAAGTACTGGGATTTGGAATCTGTGATTTTAATTGAGGAAACCGGAATCCTACTTATGATTGGAATCAGTAATCTAAATGCCAATGACATCCGGAATCCACTCCTAGAATCCAGAATCCAAGACTCTCTTGCATTACCTTTTAATGGGCGATTTGTCGATGGCGATGGTATTTAAATCTTAACTCAGTCATTGATGTCTTGTAAATAATGTCTACCAAGTACCTGAACTATAAGTGATAGCCGTGTAACTTGCATTAAACCCTGGGTATTGACTGCGCAGAGACGTGAATATTACTTGAGCGGAATTCCCTACCGAGTACACTGGAAGGAAAAGAGACTGACCGCACAACATGAACGGCTGATACCCATCATCTGAAGCAACATTTGTGACTGTAACACGGGACTCTGGAGCATTATAGCAGGGAATATACTGATATGGCTTCAATCGAAAGTAGAGGAAGCTAAGTTTAATGATGTACCCGCTGGGAACTGTGATATTCCAGGTACATTTGCTGTATTGAGGGTAGTTACTAGGAAAATTTGGAGTTGAAAAGAGTCCACTAAATCCGTTAAGATATTCGCCAGAGGTACAAGCTGCAACAAGAGGAAATAAACATGATTTAGCTTTATAATTCAAAATCAAAGAGTAATTTTGTCTGTGAACCACAAAAGAAAAAAAAACTCAATCAGGAAAGCGTTGCAATAGATAAACATAAAAAAGGAGATTCGCAACAAAACACTTTTAACATCATGTGAATGAAAATTTTTGGCAATTCATCGGCATTTTAGTTATGTGTTGTTTTACTCCGTAAAGTATTTGAATGTTGCAGTTGCTATAAGCCCGTTATAAGGCAATAATGTTTTATATAACTTGCTGAAAATTGATACAATACAATACAAATTTTATTGTCCACTCCCCATGGGGGCTTTTCAGAGAAAAATATTAATAGTGCAGGTAATCAAAAAACAAACAAACAAACAAACAAAATAATAAAAGTAAATAAATAAATAAATAAAAATAAAAAAGTAAAATACTCTAGAGTTGTCAATAAACAATTATTAAGAAACTATTTGCACATAGAATTTATGAAATCACAAATTGATTATCAATAAGCCTATTAAGAAACTATTTACATATAAATTTATGACATTAAAAGTTGATTTAACTTTGCGTTTAAAGCCGATTTTGACTAACTTACCGGTGTTTGTTGCATTATATTTCACCTTGATGTAAGTTGCCTTAAATCCACGGTACCGCCGGTATGTACCACTGCCAGAAACAAACGTCACCCTCAGGACATCTTTTACCGAATGGTACACTATCCCACGGTCTTTATAGTATCTACATCTTCGCCTGCCTGAAATGCCATCAGAGGATGAGCCATTTTGTATTTCCAGGTAGTCACACGTGCAAGATGAACCACAGTTCGTAATCTGAATGTCTTCAATGAACAACAAAATGCGTTCTCCATTGCTTGCTATAATTTTCCAGCTGCATTTCACGTTCGAAGGGTAACGCCTTGGATAGAAAGGACTGGTAAGAACTCCTGATGTCTCATTCAGGGTTGCCATATTGGGACAGACTGCAAGCAATATAAATGGACTAAGCCTAAGTATCGATGAAAATTAGAATTATACCACTTTAAAAAAAGAATCTAGTTAACTTGACAAGGAATTAGATCAAAACTAAATAATACGGAACGGAAGGACTTAATAATTTTGAGTTGCGCCAGAACCTTTTTTTGGTTTGTGTGCGGAATATCTTTTTTTACATTATCGAGTTTACGTAGTGAATAAGTCACAGACAATTGACTGCCTTCTTGCTAAGTTTTTAAGAGTCCGTTCCGTGCCCCAACCGAGCATTGTATGGGTATTAGGCGCTTGCGCTTACTCTGACATAAAAAAATTGTTCTGCAGTTCACGTTTTCTTTCTTTGTTATTAAAGCCCATGTGAACAACAGCTACGTTAGAAGAATTCACAAACAAAGCAACCTTAACTGTGAGAAATATGTTCGTAAGTTCTGGGATTTGGAATCTATGATTTTTCTTGAGAAGACTTTCTTGGATTACCTTTTATTGGTCGAGCTGTTATTGGTGATGGTTTTTAAATCTTATCTCAGTCATTGATGTCTGATAAATAATGTATACCACGTACCTCTACTATAAGTGATAGCCGTGTAAGTTGCATTAAACCCTGGGTATTGACTGCGCAGAGACGTGAATATGACTTGAACGGAATTCCCTACCGAGTACACTGGATGGAAAAGAGACTGACCGCACAACATGAACGGCTGATACCCATCATCCGAAGCAACATTTGTGACTGTAACACGGGCCTCTGGAGCATTATAGCAGGGAATGGACTGATATGGCTCCAATCGAAAGTAAAGGAACCTAAGTTTAATGATGTACCCGCTGGGAACTGTGATATTCCAGGTACATTTGCTGTATTGAGGGTAGTTACTTGGAAAATTTGGAGTTGAAAAGAATCCACTTAGTCGATTAAGATATTCACCAGAGGTACAAGCTGTAACAAGACGAAAATAAAAATTTTTTAGCTTTCTAATCCAACATCAAAGAGTAATTTTGTCTGTAAACCAAAAAAAAAAAAAAGCAATCAAAAGGGTTGCGTACTACGGTGGCCCATAAGGGACATAAAAACCCAGCTATTTATTTTGGGAAATTTGGATGGTAAAACGTATTATTTTTAGGTTTGGGGTCTTTTTTTCAGACCTATAATTTTTTCTTTGTAAAAGCTCAAGTTTTTTAAGAACTCAGATTTTTCAAAACTCAGGGTTTTTTTTCAAAACTCATGTCTTTTTTAAAACTCAGATTTTTTTTTCAAAACTCAAGTTTTTTTTAAAAAAGCCCAGATTGTTTTCAAAACTCATGTTTTTTTTAAACTCAGATTGTTTTTTTCAAATCTCAGGTTTTTTTCAAAAACCCAGATGATTTTCAAAACTCAGGGTTTTTTTTTTCAAACTCAGAGGTTTTTTCCAAAACCCAGTTTTTTATTGTCATGAATAATGCGCATGTTATATACCTGCTGATCACGATTGCTGGCTCAAAGAAAATGACAAAATGGCGTTGACGATCAAAATGGTTTTATCTGTTTTCTGATTCATTTTGTGCCTTTCACGTGGAACGAACATAATGTCCCAGTACATTCCTGTGACATCAGGGAATTGTAACCGTAATTCTTCGATTGAATGTTACTTCAATGTTGATTGATTAACCGCCGCCTGGTAAGCTCAGTTGGGAGAGTGCCGGTCTGCCGAGCGGGAGGTCGCGGGTTCAAACCCCGGCCGGACCAACACTCAGGATCTGTAAATAACTGAGAAGAAAGTGCTGCCTTTGTCATGACATCAAATGGTTAGACTTTCTAGTCTTCTTGGATAAGGACGAAAAACCGCACTTTCACTGATCTGTTCATGTGTGGGACGCGTAAAAGAACCCACACCAATGTTCCAAAAGAGTAGGCGACGTAGACCCCAGTGGTGTGGCCAACCTCTCTTGACGGGTTGTGGGATTGGGTAGGGATGGCACCTTGCATGGGACCTATGAGTCCCGTTTGTGCCCATTCCCATTCCTGTGTACGAGAAGAAGGAAGCGTAGGATTTCTTAGTACTCCAGGTTTGAAGTATTGAAGTAACATTCAATCAAAGAATTACGGTCAGAATTCCCTCATTGTGCTCGTTCCACATGACAGGAATAAAATGAGACAAAAATAAAATTCATTTCTGAAAGAAATAAATAGTTTTATTCTTAATGTGACTGATTAATGTGTCATTTCTCCAGCTACCAGTGAGGGGGCGTTCCTGCCATCCTGAACATTACATGTATGTTTATAAGACATGAAAGCAAGGCTCAAAGCCTCTCTCCTCACTACAAGAAGAAGGTTGGAAAACATTTTTCCATCCCTTCAGTTTCCTCCCCTTTTGCTCCACTTTCATCTCCCGGATGGCGGGTGTGCCCTCACCTTTGCTGGGATAATCTTCTTGAGTATCCCGATTTTCCTAGCTTGATATGCTTCAAGGAAATAAACGGCCACTATTGTGGCCAAATTCATCCCAAACCGGAATTGTCATTATTTGGTATCCCAACTAATAGAGCTAAGAGAGACTCCGCCAAAAGCAATAACCGACTTAATAATTACTATCTAAAGGGACATGAAGCATAAAACAGATAAAAACCATTTTGATCATCAACGCCATTTTGCTCATTTTCTTTGAGCCAGCAATCGTGGTAGGCAGTTATATGACATGAGCATTGTTCAAGACGATTAAAAACTTGGTTTTCAAAAAAAAAACCGACTTTGAAAAAAAATCTGAGTTTTGAAAAAAAACACCCTGAGTTTTGAAAACATCTGAGTTTTTTAAAAAAAACCTTGAGTGTTGAAAAAATCTGAGTTTTAAAAAAAAAACCGTGAGTTTTGAAAAAATCTGAGTTTTAAAAAATGTTTTAAAATAAAATTAAAAAAAAAAACTTGGGCTTTAACAAAAGAAAAAATGATAGGTCTGAAAATAAAACCCCAAACGTGAAATAATAAGTTTTACCATTCAAATTTCCCAAAATAAATAGCTGGGGTTTCATGTCCTTTATGGGCCACCGTAGGTTGCAATAGATAAACATAAAAAAAGGAGATTTGCAACAAAACACTTTTAAAATCACGCGAATTAAAATTGTCGGTATTTCATCGGCATTTTAGTTTGTGTTGTTTTACTCCGTAAAGTATTTGAATGTTACAGTTGCTATAAGCCTGTTATAAGGCAATAATGTTTTCAAGTATCTAACTTGCTGAAAATTCATCACCTGATCGCCTGCACATAAACCTTTAACTTTGCGTATAAAGCCGATTTTTAATAACTTACCGGTGTTTGTTGCATTATACTTCACTTTGATGTAAGTTGCCTTAAATCCACGGTACCGCCGGTAAGTACCATTATCAGAAACAAACGTCACCGTCAGGACATCTTTTACCGAATGGTATACTATCCCACGGTC